TCTATGGTTCAATCTTAATGAGTGCCTGCCCAGTCACTGAGTTACCCAAGCAACTGGTAGACTCCTCTTCACCCTGCAGACAGTACCTCCATCCTAATTGGTGACCAAGTCTGGTCAATTCCACTTGCTCAACATCTCTCACACACAGCCCTTCCTCCTGTCCTGGCTCTTGTCTTGCCCTGATTCAGGGCATGGCCATCCCTCACCTGGACCATGGAAACATGCTTCTAACTCATTTTCCTGCCTCCAAAATTGGCCCTTTCAACACTTGCCATGCTGCAGCAAAAATGCAGATCTGATCATCTCTCTCCCCACCTTGAATCTCTTCCATGGTTCCCACTGCTGCCTACAGGACAGTTCCAAAATCCTTCAGCAAGGCAGACAAGTTCCTGCTGGTCCTGCCCATGCTCCATGGTGGATCCGCCCCACTGCCCAGGCCCTTGTCCTGGAGGCATCCCAATGCACTCTGCAGTTGCCCATCTCAGGGCCTGTGTTTATTTTGAGAACTCTCCCTGGGATATCCTTTCCACTCTGTCTGCCAGGCAGACACATCCTCTTTTAAGTTAAGGTGTTTTGCATATATTATCTAATTTGATCTGTACAACAACCCTTTGTGGTGGGTACTATTATTAGTCCCATTTTACAGAAAGAAAATAGACTAAGAAGGATTAAGTAACTTGCTAAAGGCCACCGTACACAGTACAATGAGACAAAGAGTATGACTTGAACCCAAGGTGGGCTACTCTAAAGTCCGTGTTCTCAGCCACCTGCTATCCTGCCTTCCAGGGTGGCACCAGAGGCATTAATCAGAGCCATAGACTCACTCAAGGTTGGCAACTCCCCAGAGAAGCAAAGGTGATTTCAGGGTTTCTAACACAGAGAACTGGGCTCCTGTCCCAGGCTCTGCACAGAGTAGACCCTCAGTAAGTATATGTTGAATGAATGAATGAGCTAGATGGGTCATCAAGAGTAGGGGAGGGAGGATATCGGGGGGAACAATAAAGAGCTCAGTGCTTTACATGTTGAGCCAGGGACGTGCCGATGGCATCTAAAACGTGAGTCTGCAGCCTGGGGAGAGGAGGCTGGCGCTGCCCATCTGGGAGTTGTTGATGATCGTCAAACCGAAAGAACAAGTGGACTCTCTAAGGGACAGTATGGTTTTCAAAGTTTTGGTAAATAAACAAAATGCATTGTTTTTTGTGTTTTCGTTTCTTTCCAGGACACACTGGCCTGAGGAGGACAGATGCCTGAGCCTTTGAAAGCTCCATGCTCCAAACCGCTGAGAGAAGGGGAGACGGAGGAGAGACAGGGCGGCCATCTTCAAATGACAAGGGCTGCCTCATGGGAAACATGGCGCCTGCTTTTCCCTGCTCCAGAAGCAGAGCCGGGGCTAAGTGGAGTTCCAGGGAGGCCCATTTCCTCTCATGGAAGGGCAGACTTTCTAAAAACTCACACTGCCCATCAAGGGAGGGTCTCCCTCAAGAGGCAGTGATGCCCTGTCGTGGCAGTGCCCGCAGAGGTAGAGGGGGTTCCTGCCCTGGTGGGTGCACCCTGTCACCTCTGAGAACCTTCCGAGCCTGAGGCTCTATGACCTGAAGCTAGAGTTTGGTTGAGAGTTACCCAATAATGTTTCAGAATTCTTCTTCCTCAAAAACACAAGCCATCCAAACTAACAACTAAGAATACTATTCTAGAAGGTACCCCCAGCGTCATGTGTGTGCTGGGTCAGGGCCCAGGGCCTGGATGTGAGTGTCTGGGGCAGGATTGGTGAGAGGGGGAGACACGATCATCTGGTCCCTGCTAAAATGTAGCCAAGTGACCAGCAACTGGTATGGATGAGGGAAGCTGCAAGCATATCAACATAAGCCCCTGATGTCACCTCCCAGAGGAGATGAGCCACGCCAGACGCCACCCCGCTTCACCACAGATGAGCAGCAGCCGGCCACTTCCCACGGAAGGTGTTTTCCAAGTGCTCCCCTCTGGATAAGCGCAGCAGTCATGCTTGGGAAAGCTCCTCTTCTGCTCTCAGGGAGCAGGTCCCTCGCCAGCCCTGCACCAGACCTAAATCAGAGGATTACTGAATTGGGGGGCTTAGGATCCTCAATTAACAGATGAGGAAACTGAAGCCCAAGACCATAGAGCTAAATAATGGTCTAAATCGCTTTGGAAACCAGATATCTTGAATCCAGCACCCTTTCATTCAAAACATGCCCTGCAAACACCTGCTCTTCATCAGACACTGTGGGTCCTTGGAAATGCAGAGATTAATGACATCATTGTCCCTGAGGAGGGGGAGAAAGACACAGAACCGAAAGCTACAATATTGGTCAGGTGGGGCGCATTCAAGGGGCCCTGCAGGAGCAAGCTATCCCTCCCACCCCACTCCCACTGACTATCTGGGCCCAAACCCTTCCATCTCCCTCTGGCAGGAGAAGGTCCAGCTATGTGCAGAAGGAACTTTACTGGAAAGGTAAGAGGCACAGAGGGAGCCAGGTACCGGTGACTCCTCACGTGAAGGTGGGCCAGGTAGGATAAGGCGCTAGGCAATGGGAGCTGAGAGTGCAGGCAGGGCCAGGCCAGGGCGAGAAGGAAGTCCAGCCACCTGCCAGTATGGGCAGTCATGACAGTGAGCATGTGGTGGACCCAGCTTGTGCATGGACGAGGCCCAGCTGGAAGCAGTAGAGCAGAGGTCACAGGAAAAGGACCAGTTTCCATCTCATGAAAGCCCACTCTGTACTGTCCACTGTTATCAACCCTCTTAAGAGTTCAGCAAAGTGCGTGATATGACTCCCATACTTCAGATGGGGAAAGTGAGGCCCAGAGAATTTGTTACCAACCCAAAGTCATTCAGGCTGAAGTGTGAGCCGGGATTCAGTGCCACTGATTTCCCTTTATTTCTCCAAACTGTGAGTGCCAGGCCAAGATAAGTGACTGACATAGCATCCTCTACTGCCCATCATTAGGACGAAGCAGAGATTGGCTGGGAGCTGAGCATGGGACAAAGGGTACCTGGCTAGATGCTGGGCTGTCAGCAACATGGCCCTGCCACCAAGTCAGAACTGAGGTCACAACTGCAGCCGGGCCAGATCAGATCTGAGGGCTAAGGCTGCAGGCCCTGGGCTGGGAACAACGACCCCAAGAGAATCAGAAGGAGGGACGCCTGGCTCTTGCAGCCCCAGTGCCTGGAGCAGAGAGAAGCAGCAATCAGGCCTAGCAGAACCATAGTGTGGGGCTGAGGCTGGGAACTGCTCCTCTTCTTCCCCTACCCTCAAGCCCGCATCACAGCGGAGCTTTGTGATTCTGCCTTTTGTCTTTGGCCTGTGTGACACCTTCCACACAGGTCCAGGTGATACATAGTAATAGAGACTCCCCCAACTAAGGACATGGGGTCTCAGAGGGGTTGAGGGACTACCTGAGTCCCCTAGCTGGTTTGGGGTGGGGTGAAACCTTGCCTGGAGCCCAGACTGTGACTCCTGGTCCTATCTTGGTTCCTTGCCCCCGTTCCTCCTGCCTGGATTCCTGGCTCCTTTCTGGGGTTGACTGGACAATGGTCTGGGTTCAAGCCCACTCGCTCTGTCCAGTTCAGACTCCACGATGGAAGTTGCTTGGTGGCGTCTGGGACTCAGCCCTCAGAGCACAACCTCTCTCTAAGCACCTGTGACCCTTCAAGACTAAAGAGTCCTAGCCTTCTAGATTAGTGTCCTGGTCATCGACAGACTGGACCCCTGCCAAGGTGGCCTGGAGCCAAGGCTTCTGCACCCAGGCCAGCCACAGCAGCCCCTGGACACTCAGCAGGAAAGCAGACATACTCTCTAGGAGGAAGAGGTGCTCACATCCGAATCTGTCTGTGTAGCCACCAGCCCCGAAAATGCTGAGTAACAAAAGGGGCGAGATTTGAAAGTGTTTTACAGTTTACAGAGCACTTTCTCGTACACTCCTAATTCCATCCTCACAAAAACCCATAAAAGGTGGAATAAAACTCCCCAGGTTCCAGACGAAGAAAGGTTCATATGTTCCAGCCCAGAAAGATCACAGGGCTGGCCAAACACACACCGTGAGAAGAGGTCATGGCCGAGACGCGACCCCAGTTTTTCTGACTCGGAGTTCTGGTCTTTGTCAATCTCTCGCCTGCTGCCCAGATGTGGATCTATCTGTGCTCCTCCAGCCAAAGCACCGGGATTATTTCCAGATTCTCATGAGAGTGAGAAAAAACATCTGGATATTTTAGAACGACCAAGTCCCCAGTGGAGCACGTCAGCCTGACGGGCTGGGTGATGGGGAGACCCATTGTCAGGAGAAGATGCTGCAGATCTGCTCACTCCTGCCTGCCCTTCCCAGCCCAGGTGGAACCATCCTCCCTATGGTGGCCAAACTGGAAGTGCACCCCGGGGGCCTGGCCAATATTTCTCTGGGTGCCAAGTCACTCCTGGGCAGCAAGAAACAGTGGCCTCCTCAACCACAGAAGACGTCTATTCTATCTAGAAAATGACTCGTCCCAGCCTGGCAGGATCCAGCGAGGATAAAGACTACACCACTCAGAAATACAGATATCTGGTGGTATTTGGTGCTGTGTGCGCGTGTGTGTGTCTGTGTATGTCTGTGGCGGGGGGGGGGTGGGACACAAGGCAGGTCTGCCTCACTGGGAGGGTACAGTGGCTCAAGTTCAGAAAGAATCCAGCAAGAGATAGAAAACTCACAGTACAGTGGGGCTAAACGAGGATCCTGTGCAGGACTGCCCCCAAATCATGAAGCCACGTTTACCTCTGGGATCCCCAAATGAAGATAATGTCACAGTTGTTCTAAAGCCACAGGGCAGCCTCACAATTCCCTCTCCCATGAGGGTCCAAACCAAAAGAGAAGAGCCACCATCTTGGACACCATCTTATAAAATCACCCGAGTAGCTGCTTACAGGATGGGCTTTGGGGTGGGGATGGGCTCAGCCCAGAGCAAGGTGAAAGGAACGACCAGTGCATGAAGCGGTGAGGGTCAGGGCACCTACCTGGACTTCACGTGTGTGATAGGCGATGATCAAACCCAAAAGGATGATGGTGGACAGACTGATAAGGCATTTCAGGGCCAACGAAAACATGGAATCCTGCAGGAGAAATGGAAAGACAGAATTAGGGAGGGCCAGGAGTGGAGCATCTCATTTCACTCTGCGGCTGTGTAAAGGGGGAAGAGGGGCAATGGAGGGACTGTCACCAGCCCCTCCTGGGAGCAGGGTAAGTTACAGAGTTAGCCTGAGACACGAAACCCTTGGGCTGGGCCGGCTAGGGCTCAGCAGCTGCCCCTGAGCTGCTGTTTTCTAGGGTTCCATCATATTTGCATTCCTGGGACACGCTCTGCTTGCGCGTGAGGTATTGTGTTTGTTATACATGGCTAGATTGGGTTTGCTGATGTGTTGTTTAGAATTTTGCCTCCACGCTCATAAGTCATATGAACATAATTCTTTTTCGTGCTGCTATTATATGGTTTGGGCATCAATACTGAGCCAACCCGGGCCTCTCTTTTCTCTTAACAAACCTGGACCAGAGGATTCCCAAAGCCCCTTCCATCTCTGACAATGCAGAGTTCTTTCAGGAATGAATTCAAATGTCCTGGCTGCTGCTCTCATCTCCTGTTTTAGGACAAGGGCAGGGAGGGTGGTAGAGGAGCTCCTGGAGAGAGACAGGGGCTGAGCAGGGAGCAAAGAGGGGTCCTGGGCAGGAGAAGGGCGCTGAGGGTCCCTCCTGATGAGGATGGGGGAGGCGGGGTGAACCACCTGGGCTTCTTTACAGTCTTCCAGCCCCATGGCAGGTTAGAGAACCCACGTGGATAGCAGCCTCCGCTCTGGGCCAGCCCACCTGTCGAAACCCTGACACTGCCACTTACTAAGTGACCTTAGGCTGCTTGCTCCACCTCTCTGCCCTCGGTTGCCTCATGTGTCAGATGGGGACAACATTAGTACCTACCTCGTGGGCCTGCTGAGAAAAATAAAGGAATTCGTATATGTAAAGACTAGTGTGTGGCCATGTAAGGGTCGGCTACTACTACCAGTTCCTCCACATCCTCTACAAATTCAGGGCATCCAGGTCGGGGACGTGGTGCCCTCCTGGGCCTTTGGAAGCCAGGAAGTAGAGATGGCTTCCAGTCCCCAAGGAAGACAGGAACACAGCCCTGAGCAAAGCTGCAGATGAGAGCTGGGCAGCACTTCTGAGCACTCACCTGTGGTGGCCCTGCGTGTCCTGAGAGTTGCATGCCACAAAAGAATCAGTCCCTGTGCTCCCGGAGCTGATAATCATAGCAATGCCTGACTTCTGTAAAGCACCTGACAGTTTATAAGATGGTTTCACATATTTGTCCTCATCCGTCATCACGACAGTCCTTGGCCTCTATCCTAACTTTATAGATATTGCAGGCAGAGGCTCAGAGGGGTGAGTAACTTGTGCCAGAGTTCAAAGCCAAGGCCTCTAACTCCAAGCTCAGAGCACTGCCCACAAGCCCTCAGGCCCACTTTCCAATGGAAAACAGAGTAGAAACGTGAGAAGTGGCCATTTAAACAGACCCAAATTACACAAGACAATAATGGAAGGTATTTCAAAGGGAGGATATGATTAATTGCCAAGTGAAACCTACAATGGAGGTAGTGGGGCTCAAGGTTGGGAGACATCACTGTCCAAGAAAGTTTTCAGAGACAGAGTGAGAGGTAGCTGAGATCTGCAGGGTTAGGCAGTGGTGTCCAATATGGCAACCACTAGAATGAGTAGAGGGCTTGAACTTGAACCTACGACTTCCAGATGCCCAAGTCCATGCTCTCAACCACCCTCTGCAGGCTGAGATGGAAAGACAGCAGCTCTCCCTGGTGTCTGTCAATCTACCATTCATTTATTTGATACAGTTTCGGGCCCACTCTGTCCCAGCCACAAGCTAGCACTGGGGATCCAAGGGAGAACTAATGAAGTAGCTCATTAATTCATTCTTTCTTTCTTTCATGACAATTTCAACCACTTCTCATTTCTTGAGCACCTACTAGATGTCCAACAGATGCTATAGGATATTTATAGAGGGCCCCTGCCCACCAAAAGATTACAATCTGGCTTATACACAAACTCCAACATTCTACACTGTGCAGGGTCATCCAGCTGTGGGGAAAGGTCTCCATCCTGTGCTGCCCTGACAATGGTCTAAACATAATCCACTTTTCATTTAGCCTCTTCCACGTTCTACGGTTTAATGAAGAGCAGCCTGCAATCATTTACTCAGCACACACAGAAGGAGATGACTAAGGGGGGGACTGTGCTGTGCTCCTCCAATTGTGGGTACAAAGAAAGACAGCACACAATTCTAGCCCTCAAGAAGGTTCCAGTCTTTGACAGCACTACTTGAAGCCTGAAATACTACCCAAACCACAGACCTAGATGGTGCTTAAGACAGCTAGCGGTGAATTCAGGGATGCTCACACTGTTTCAGGAAAAGACAAACCTCCCCACAGGAATCAAGTGGGGACAGTTCACACTGTTTCTGAGCCAGAAATGACCATAACTTTCTTCTCAAAGGGGCCTGAAGGCATCTGGGGAGCATCACATCTCCCCAGGGAAGGGTTTGGGATCAGCTGCACATTTCAACCTCTAATGTATTTCTTTTGGCACAAATTAACTGAAATTGGAATCCAAGTCTATTCCCATCATTTTTAGAGGAAGAGGTAAAGAAAGGAGGCCAGATGCTGTCTTGCCTCCTTTGAGTCTCCTCCTTTTGTTCTAAAACTCAAAGCCTTTACATAAGAGGAAACTCCCACCTGCTTCGTGGTTTTGGCCTGTGCGACCTCCTTGGCCAGCTCCAGCCCCACGGGGAGACAAGCTGTGCACTGGGTCAGTGGGGATGCTTGATACTTTACAGATTTCCTTGCCTTCTCTATCACATATCAATAAACAATAAACCATTAACCACTCTTAATAGCTGGAAAACATGTCAAAGAAGTCAAGCTGGACTAGAAATGTTTTCTGTTTGTTAAAATGTTGAATTATCTTTTCTTTGCTGCCTGAACTCCAATGAAGCTTGAAATTGATATGGTTCTTTGGGTGATGGCAGCAACTCAAAGCTGGCTAATGAGCTGCCATGCCCCACGTGGTGGGGGCACCAGCCACACCTGCTCTCCTCCTACTCACTCGCATCCAAGGGCCAAAAGGGACTCAGAGGGCTGGGAGGGAGTCAGCTGGTCAACCCTGTTCCCCTGCAACTCAGAATCATTCAATAACAGAGTAATAATCCTTAATACACAGGAATGCTTAGGAAGTATATCCCAACAGATGGGAGTCATTTTTTAAAGCCATTTATTCCTAAATATCCAAAAATATTAGAGTGGTTAAGTAAATTAGAGTACAGCCAGTGATGGAACACTATGTAGCCACTTAAAACCATGTAGAAAATATTTGAAGACATGAGGAAAGGTTCGTGATATGATATCAAATGAAAACACCAGACCCCAAAACTGTATAGATGATAATATTTCTAATTAGTTTTAAATTTTTTACTTTTTTAATGTAAAAAACGACTGTGAGGGGGCTGGCCCAGCGGCGTAGTGGTTAAGTTCGCGTGCTCTACTTCGGTGGCCCAGGGTTCACAGGTTCGGATCCCAGGCGTGGACCCATGCACCGCTTGTCAAGCCATGCTGTGGTGGCGTCCCATATAAAGTAGAGGAAGATGGGCACAGATGTTAGCCCAGGGCCAATCTTCCTCAGC